TATTTGGTATTTACTACGTGTGGTATTGGAGTGTCGCTGTGGTATTGTAGAACCTATATAAGGTCGATAGAGATAAGCAAAAATGTGCGAGTAACATGGTATTATGAGATCACATATGTGGGCCGACATGAGTGGGGCGATATGATAAAGCTCACGTATATTAGGTGTGGAGATCCGAGGTGGGTCAGCTCGGTTATGACGGTATAGCTAGCTCTTTACACTATATACCGATATAGAATTCGTTTCCAAGCTCGCATGCGCGAACCCATACGTACATTTCGAGGCATGTTTACGTTACCAGCGATGGCTATACTACATATTCCGATATTCACTCGTAGCATCGGTTTCATATTATAGATGGTTCATGATTATAAAGGAGGCCTCCGAACGACCAACTGCTCAGAGCAGCCTGCGCTATAATGGTCTTGCGTTTCATGATTGTTGGTATACTGTGATCAAGAGACATTTTATAACGCCTACATACCACACCAGCTTTCGGAAAAGTTATAAAACAGTAAAAATTTTCTAGATTTTTTTCTTTTAGTAGAAAAAAAAGAAGTGGTGACAATTTTTGTGGCCCCTTTTAAGATAGTCCTTGACGTGGCCATAGGGCTAGAATTTTTAGAGATGGAAATCTAAGTATGCATGAACAGGAAAAAAAAAACTTGTAACATATAGGGTAGTACATTAAGAAATAGCAACTTCTCGTCCCGATTGAGGGATATTACCCCGGCGCTCTTCCGCTGCACCCTGTTGCTTGGGCTTGTTATTCTCGGGCACCTCCTTTATTCCGGTTGCTATATAGGTAAATGACATCGTGCTTGAGTTTAATCCACCTTTCTACAAGTGACATTCCTTTGTTTGGTATTTGTCCAATTTTCGACGACACCCACCAATGAAGGGGCGCTAGCTCAGGTGGACGTCCGTAAGTGAGGACAGAACTGAGTCAAGGGACAGTTGTGCATTGTCTTCGCTAGTCTGGCTGGCACGATCTTCGCTTGGTTTCAGTTGTCTACTGAATTCCTTAGTTGATAATCTCTCTACGCATTTACTACACTCGCAAACTTCGGCTCTCTGGTCGACTGTTACTGTACGTACCTGCATGGGAATATGTATCACCTTTATATATAAAGCAAGAACATCAAGCCTCAGGCGCGTGGCTCGACTAAACTCGCTCAACAGCTGACCGGGAAGGGCCCTGTAGCAATGGCTCTGCAGAAAAACATAATCCAGGAAATGTTTTCCACTGTTGTTGGCCATGAACACGATGCCCAAGGCAACATTGCCTCAACTTTGACGTATCGTTTTGCCACGCACCCCAATCCTAACCTTTCCCTAGCCATCTGGAGTATGGACCCGGACCTCTCGCCCGGCAATGCCTTCACAAAACTCTCTCTTCCTTTACGAACGGCCACTGCCTCCTCTATCGTTGGACCCAATAGAGCAATTGTCCGCTTCATGCCAAATGAGATTGCATTTGGAAACCCTAGATGGGGCGAGTGGCTTAGGAAGAGCGTATTGAGTAAGGTCCGTAGAGATCTGGGACTAGATACAAGGGAAGGCCCCGGTGGAGAGACTCTGATCGAGTTGAATGAATTCTTGATTATCGGAGATGGCGGGACAGTAGCAGCAGCATTGAGGTTAGTCTGCCTCTGAAAATTGTCCTTTTTACACAATTAACTCAATAAATGCTACATAGGCCACCATCAAGGCAAGCGGGTATCGCCTACATGTTGGTATTGCTTCCTTCTTGGTTTTCCGGTGGGGATTTCGTTTTTACCCACCCTGGTCGCATCGCGATGGAATCCAGGACCTCTAGAGCTTCGCGTTCCTCCTACCAAATTCTGTCATGGTTCACTGATACGTCCTTGGCTACCACCCCAATCATCAAAGGCAACTTTTGTGGACTGGTTTATATGATTCAGCACAAAGAGTCAGGGCCATTGAGCATTCCAGACGTACTCCCCTCCGCTGCTCTCCTCGGGACAATGACCTGCTTCGAAGCTCGCTTTCGGCAAGTCCTACGCAGGTGGAAACAACAACTCAATCAAGTTACTGCTATAGCAGATGTTGCGGAGGTTCATTCCTCAAGTAGTCCAAAAATGTCTGTAAAATTGGCATTTCTTAATGATACCACGTTCAAAGGTGAGGAGTTTTTCGGAATGCTCAGTGATCGTGCTCTCGAGGTGAATTTTGGGTCTCTCTATGCTACATTACGTTTCGAAGAAAGTAGGCATGCCAGGCCAGCGGCTAGCCAAAGGCCACAAAGCGGGCGCTATCAAACATGGCAATTACACCTTGAAAACGCGTTTAGTCAACCACTCTCAGGTTTGCTGCAAGTAACTGCTGAAAGCTATCTGTTAACGCCGATGCAAAAGATTGCGGGACCAGTTCAGGAATTGTATTCGGGGCTAAAAAATCACGGTTGGGCGATTGACCTTCATTGGGAGGTCATAGGAAATACCAAGGATAGAAAGTCAAACCCTTTGCTGAAAATTGTGTATGATTGGGATAGTGTGGATTTCGACTCAGGGATAGGTCCTGTTATTCTCGGTGTGTTTTCTCCTTCTCTTGAAATCTTCCAACCAGGGCGTCTTTGGCTAAACCAGAACAGGTTACTCAGTCCCGGTACTTGTCCTATTCCCGCTCTTCCACCTGGATCTAGTTTCGCAGGATGCAGGGTTATAATATTATTCGTGTCATGCAAGCACTCGAAGATCCAGTCAACATCGACGCCGGAGGTTACGACCATCAGGGAGAAAAAACCATTGCTCAGCCCTATATTACAGAATTACAGACATTCTTCAATCACCTAGCATCGTCCCAAAGTTCCCATTTCTGCTCATGCCAAAAAATCAAATTTACATGAATTGGGGTACCTTAGACATTGCGTTGTGCCTTCGCATTGTCCTACGCCAAAAAATTTTATACAAATATTCCAGCTTTTTCAAAATCTTCGCGTTAGGCACTTCCCACATCCCCCAGATTGCGTATATTTATTTTCAGTCATGCCAATTGCAAGAATCATGGATTCGCTTCTCCATCCTTAGATTCCCCGTCCAAATGATCCATTCCTAAAGTAGAGATATGTAAATTTGGAACACGATGAGCCGTCCGGTGAAGGCCGCGTCTACTTGGCACTGTGGAGATATCTCGTATCCCGGAAGTTCAAGGAACCAAAACGCAAGGATATTTCTTAGTGTAGCCCTTGGATTAGGGAGTATTTACTTAGCGTTGTATCCAGTCCCTCCAGGGGAAATAGCCATCTTTCGAATCTATTATTCTACTTCTCGCGTTTTATACCAATAAAATATTCCACTCGATTGATCTCAGCTAGAGCACGAATCGTACCTTTTCCAAGCTGTTGTGAAGGACCAAGAATGTCTAATACGACTCCTGTTATCACGTTCGCAGGGCAGCTTGGCCACCTTACCCCAGAGCAGGAGATGGCGTTCGTGGAATTCAAGCAGTTGTGTGCGGAGCAGGGAATATACACCCCAGCGGAGGCCGGAGAGAACAGAAAGCCTGCGAGCCATGACGATATATTGATGATGTAAGTTAGGCTATCATTACAGATGATGAGGGCTGAGAAGGCCATAACATGGGGAAGGGAATTGAGAGTCACCGATTTATCGAAGTCATGCACTAACGGGGTTGCACCAGTCGGTTTTTGCGTGCTCGGAGGTTTGTTATTGCGGATGCACTTATACTGTTTAGCGACTCAGAGCAGTGGCGGAAGGCTGAGAAGATTGATGATGTATATGACCACTTTGATGTTGGCGAATATGAGCACTGCCGAAAATTGGTATTTCCCTTTTTACCTCACTGTTTTCAGTCTTCTCTAGAACATCTCTCATCCACCACAACTCCAGCACCCACAATGGACCGGTCGCCGTGACCGCGACGGCATGCCTCTATTCGTATACACTATCTCTCACGTCTCTGGTACGAACCTAACAGAATATACCGCTGCGAAAAACAAACTCCAACGACTCGCCATGCTCTACGAGACTGTCATACAATTCGTTATTCCCGTTGCCAACGCGGTGCACGTCCGTGCACGGAATCATGCTGCCCCCACCCCAAAACCAACAACGGAAACCGCGCCCACTGCCGATACCGAAAAGAAACTAGAATCAGTCTCCTCAATCACAATCATCACTGACATAGGTAATGTCGGGCTTTGGACATTCTGGAACCTGAAGGGACATATGCAGGAATCGGCGAAAATCGCTTCCGATCGATATCCCGAGACGTTACATCGCCAATATATAGTCAACGCGCCGTCGTTCTTCCCGACTGTATGGGGGTGGATTAAGAAGTGGTTCGACCCCGTAACGACGTCAAAGATCACAATTCTCTCGGGCTCGTTAACCCTGAAAGAACTCCGGGAACAATTGGAAGTGTGCATAGCTCCAGAGAACCTGCCAAAGAAATATGGTGGAGACCTTGATTGGGATTATGGGGATGTACCTGATGTGGATAAGGAGATTCGTGAAGTCGTTGGTGAAGATGTATTTGCTGATGGAGGCTTAACGGGACCAGTGCGTTGGGTAGTAGAAGGAAAGGGCATAGTGGGGCGTGCGGTGAAGGTGGGGAGTATTGGAGGGAAGGATCGGAGGGGAGATAAGCTGGATGCTTGAAGTTGGCTGTCAACGCGAAGTTAATCCAGACACGAGTTGGTTTGTCCAGTGCTATATACCCTTATCTGTATACATTCCATACTTAGATTTATTACTAAGTAAGTAGTTAGGACATTGTACTTTATACTAGAATAGCTATTCCAAATTTTTTGTCACTTTCAACCAGACTATGTCACTTTCTTACAACCAAGCCCCTCCTCACATGAGAGTATATACAGTATATATGGGACCTCTGGGGAGGGGCTAGTGCAAGCCAGACTATATGGGACCGAGGCTAAGTATAATTGACACCACCACCGTCTGTCGCATTGAGGCTAAAGAAAAGTTGTAACAAAGAAAACCCAAAAAAAAGATTTTGGCCCTAACCCGGAGTCGAACCGGGGACCTCTCCCATACAAAGCTTACTAAAGCAAGCCGGGCTGTCACCCGAAGGGAGAATCATACCTCTAGACCATCAGGGCTGTGGTGTTGTTTCATGCGAAAAGATAATCTAATAGCTTAGTATTAGAAACATTAGGGATCCGCATTATTGCCCATTCCATTTTTGGAATGGTGGTTTGACAATATATAAAATATATAATGGGCCTTTGAATGTCACTTTTTCACCTCTGTCCTCAGACAATTAACGACAAGTTTTACAGAAATCCTCCGCTGATACAAAGACCCCCAGGTTTTGGCACACTTCAGGATTGGTCGTATCTCACCAGCGCCTGCAAAGTCTCCTCTTTTGGCCCCAACTACGGTAGAACATCCAGTCTCGGGAGTAGATGCCTTACGAATGCTGGATAAGGTGATGAGGTTTTCACCCAAAAAGAAGACTAGCGGGTGCGTGTGCTCGTACTTCTTTAGGGAGTAGGAGCAAATTGGTCGAGAAGGCATTGGGAGTAGACCACCTGACGGGGGGAGCAGGGGGGAGGTTCCTCTGAGTCCTTCTTACAGGGCGAATGCTCCGACGCATGCGAACGAAAACTCGCAATCCCGTACCGGACTGTGGGACAGTGAGGATGAACTGCTTGAGTCTCTTCCGCTATCATCATCATCGGAGTCCACTTTCGGACCACCGCGAAGGAGCTTCTTGTCCCCACGTCTTGTTAGAAGCCTTGTCCATGCGAAACGGCAAGCGCAAGAGCGTGTGGTGGATATGTGGCGGAGAATACATGGGTGGGATACCATGCGCCATTCTTTAACGGTGCCTCCCGGCTAGAGGACGCTCAAATCCTCTCCAAAAAGACCTCAAAAGTCCTAGCCGGCACTCGCCAAAGTCTGGACCTGGCTTTGATACTACTCCGTTGCTCCCAACAGAATCTCGGGCTTCCAAACACCCACAAGCAGCGGCAGCATGTACCTCCCTCCTCCGACTTCCGATCCATATTCCCGATTACGGGCGATTCCTGAGAATCTTCAAATGCCAATTATCTGCGGACTCCTCGTTCCTACCCTTCTCCCGTTTTCAACCTATTCTATGAATTGCATTTAGAAGAACGACAATATATGGAGAATCAACCGCGTTTAAAGAGCTACAAGTTTTACGCAATCTAGGAACCTATTCTGGCAACGGAATGGAAGACTCCGTGTGGCAGTAAAGCAGTTTCTTCATCCCCAGATAATACTTGAACAAGCAGTCTTCTCGACTTGCAGAACACCTACAGAATGCAGGTCTACGATTAGATGGTGAAGAAGCAGAATAAAGAACAGAGGTGTCCCCTTTTTTAGATACTACTGACTTAAAACACTTTATTGGCAAGATTACATTATATGCTATCAATCAGAGTGGGAGGAATTTTTTTTTTTTGCAAATACAGTCAAAAGTTTTTTACTAAAGAAGGAAAATTGTTCAACTTCCGTGGGTTGAACTTTAAGCTCAACATTCATCAGCCAAAATGTTGCGTGCGGGAAGACAAAAGCGTCGAGCCTCACCATATTAGAGAAGCGCCAGATCTGTAAAAAGCGCCAAAATCCCAAGTATGCGAAGGAGAAATTGAGTGAATTTGGAAAACATTTCTTAGACTCCGAGGTATGAAGAATGGTAGATCTATGTTGGTTAAGATACTAATAATAGAAAGCAGGGCCGAGCTGTAGCAATACCAATATTGTCAGACATCTTATGTAATTGTAAGAAATGGCTTGAAGTTGATTTTACAGCAGATGACTCGCGGAAGAAAAAGTAGTGAACATCTCAATACCTGGTTCTAGAGCAGATCTAGTTGACTAGGTTGATCGTGCAAATCAAAAGAATATCAGTATCAATGATTTGGACTTACACGCAACAACTAAGACACTCATTGCTAAGCTTGAAGCTTTGCCATCTTATTCTGAGCATTATTTACATTTTTAAATGTCGAATGGATGGCTCTGTACTGTGAAGAACCGATATGCAAAAGTCTCGAGGAGATGGAGGAGTTATCAATGAAGCTTTATTGCAAGGCATGCGAGATGATCTACGAAGTCAAGTTGATTCTTTTGTTTTGCGTGATGTCTACAATTGCGATGAGTTGGCCTTACAGTGAATTTCTATACGATGATATAGACATTGAATATTCTAATTCATCAAACAGGTATAATATTCCACCCAGAGCAGACGATCTGTAGAGAAATGGAAGATATACGTGGGCGGAAAAAGCAGAAGACTCGGATTTCGGCCTTTCTTACACTTAATACCTATGGTACCATAAGCAGAACTTATAGTTATAGGTCATGCCAGAAATTCAATTTGCTTCCGAGCTGCCAAAATCAACAAAGACAATCTAGCTACGGTTTATAAACACAACTGCAAAGCTTGGATGTTAAGTTAAGTAGTATGCGGTATGAGTATAACTCAATTGAATACTACTATGAAGAATGAAGGGCGGCACATAGCCTTGATAACCGATAACTGTCCATCACATCCTCCGCCTGATTTAACACCAAAAGAGTACGACGGCCCTCTAACTCCTCAGCTTTTCAATATACAGCTTATCTACCTTCCAAAGCGTACTACACCATATCTACAACTACTTAATCAAGAAATCATTCACTCTTTGAATACCTCCTATCATACTGAGGGTCTAGTTGAATATTTTAATATTCATAACAAGAATCTACAAATGATAGATATTCTTCAAGCCATTCATTTAAACTCAACTGCTTTGATTGAAATTTGCCAAGTTATTTACAACTGTTGGTGACAAGCTGATATACACTCACACTTGCGGAATTCCTCTTCTCTATATCGATCTTATGAACAATACATGGAACATCTTCAATCAGGAACTTTCATTAATATCAATGGTTTACTTGAGCCTGATACTACTTGTCATTTCGGTCAAGTTGAGGTGGTCAATAAATTCCTATTTTATGATGAGGAAGCTACAGATCGAATCTCACCTGATATGTATCATCAGCACTACAGACCTCATTACCGATATGCAAAATCACAGTGTCAGTGAGGATCTGAAAGATGATATACCTACCGACATACCTATATTTGATCCTTCACCTCCTCCGACTACTCCTGAGGCTCTAAATGTCCTGACCAACTTGACAAATACTTTGAAGCACAGCTGGTGTCCTCCCTTGAGCACCCTTCAGCATCCTACTGCCATACGCAATACTTCGGACATAGTTTGTAGCCTTCAGAGCATTGCACTATCTCTCAAAAGTTACCAACTGAACAACCGACAGCAGCAGACTTTGCATGGATGGCTTCAATCAGGTTCCAGCTCGTGGTTGTTGTTTGGAGAGGAGGAATGCCAGGGCGGTTTTTTTTTTTTCGCATGTATCTACTTAAGGATTCCGTTATAGCAAGGGCAAAGTATATGTAGATAGTAGCAACTTCCCTATATTCCGCTGTCCGGTCTGGTATAAGCAAAAATCTGTTATAGCAAAGGTGATTTAGGTGAGAAGTACGTATATTGGTGGTGGGGCTATTCCAGTTCAACCAGGTCCGGTATAGCAAGGTTAGAATCAAGCATAACGGACGAACGATTCAGCAGGAACAACTCGATGACCCGACCTACAGCAATGTCGTGAGTGGATTGAGGATGCCACCTAAATACGTCATGAAGGCAGAAAGGCCTAAGTTAGAGGAAGAAAGATCCTATATAAAATAGAGAACGATGAATCTGACATGTAGATTAAGCCAGAAGAAGAGGAAGGAAAAAGAGTAGCCGCCATCAAGAAAGGGACCTCGAAGGAAATAGCCATCAATATACATGAAAGGTATGGACACATCTTACCATGGTCCCCTTACTGGGATCGCATGTGAGTAATGAGGTTTTTTAAAAAAAAAAATTATAGACACACATCTGTTACAATACCCTTAGAACTCTCCCAGAATTCCTAAAGGAAATAAAAGAGAAGATCCGAAACCGTACGATCTTGACCATGAGCCGAACGGCTCTACATAATATGTAAGTTCGAATCTCCCCAAAGGATTGAGCCTCAAGGTGGGCAGCTAGACAAAAATTAGGATTCGCACAAAACCCCAAAGGAAAGACACCAATCAAGATTATGGTCAACAGGGATTCCGAAAACGAGTAGAAGTGGTTACGACCCTTTGGGCAGGGTGTACTCTGTTCAATTATGATATTACAGACAAGCTCTCACTGAGAAGCTACGACACCAATATTAGTTGGATACACCGAGAGCTTCGAAAGCTATATAGTCCGGACAGACACGGGATAAGTCAAGCTTGCCCTCAGACCAACACCCGTTTAACAAGCCGACGCAAGCTCTAAATTGGAAGCAGAGTCTGAACCAGCTCCAGACGAAAGAACAAAGACCATGTACCCACACCTCAACTAGACGCCCCGCCTCCTATGAAGAAACCCAGAAAAACACAAAGAGATTGAGAAGGCATAGTAGGATCCAGGAAATCAGAACGACAACCAGGTCGAAGGAAGTTCAGACCCCGACCACCCAGCAGATGAGCAATCCCATCGATCCGATTCATCAATACGTTCAAACCGATTCCTTTTGCTCTGATTCTGTCCCATATGTAGGCCCCTAAAACGCCGCATTGCTACTATACCTGGTAGAGATCAAAAAGGGCTATCATTCACCAGGTTCCCCAGTTGTTCGTATATTCCATTCTAGAGGTAAAAAACCATGTTAGATTATCAATTAAAACCTACCCAGTGTTTTGGCAAAGACCGTCTGTCCTCTCATGTTATCCAATAACCCTCGGAAAAGATTTTCCCGAGTGACTTTTAATCCTTCCTTGGTTGCTTGATTATCCTCCTCGTCATCTCTTTCTTCTTCTTCTCAACCTCATATTGCTCACCCCGACTGAGCTGCGCCTTCATCTAGTTTCGACTTCTTTCTTGGATTTGGCGCAACTGCACTGCCAGCAGTAGTACTACCTAGCTTTCAGCGCCTCTGTTAATGATAACTTCTTCAGAGTAAAATGTTTGTAGGCCATGCTCGAGTGCCTTGAGAATAATAGACAAAGTCTATGATTAAGTTCTATATAATCTGCAATATT